ATAAAATAGAGACAAAGGAAAGAAATACAAAGAATTAATAAAATAAGTTGGTTCTTATGCCAGGTGGTAGTGGTGGTGGTGGCGGAGGCAGTGGCAGCGCACGCCTTTAATCCCAGCACTCAGAAGGCAAAGGCAGGCGGATCTCAGTGAGGCCAGTCTGGTCTACACAGAGAAACCCTATCTCAAAAAAACAAATTTTAAAAAAGTTACTTCTTTTCGAAAATCAGTTAAGACTGAAAAATCCTTAGCCAAATTAACTAAAAGGCAGAGAGAAGATCCAAATTAACAAAATTAGAGATGAAAAAAGACATAACAACCACACCTAGGAAACCTAGAGAATCATTAGGACATACAATAAAAGCCTAAACTCCGCCAAATTGGAAAATGTACAAGAAATGGGTGATTTTTAGGACTTATACAACTTGCTAAAGTTAAATGAAGATCATATAGGAATAGAATAAGGATAGAATCAGTGCCAGGCAGGGGTGGCTCACGCCTTTAATCCCAGCACTCGGAGGGCAGAGGCAGGCAGGTCTCTGTGAGTTCGAGGCCAAACCTGATCTAAAAGCTACACAGAGAAGAAACCCTTTCTCAAAAGACCAAAAAGAAGAAGAAGAGGAAGATGATGATGATGATAATCGGTAACATTAGTCTCCCAAAGTCTAGGCCCAGATGGTTTTAGCACAAAAATCTACCAGACATTCAAAGAACAGTTCAGACCAATGTTCCTCAAATTATTGTTTAAAAAAAAAAAACGGTAAACACAAAGAACATTGCCCAATTCTTTTTTCAAGGCCTCAGGCACCCCTGACACCCAAACCACACAAAGATCCAATACTAAAAACTAGATTTCAATTTCCCTGATGAACATAGATGCAAAAATTCTCAATAAAATAGTTGCAAATTGAATCTGAGAACACTCAAAAAGATCATCAATCATGAACAAGCAGGCTTCATCACAAAGATGCTGGGCTGGTTCAACACATGTAAATGATACATGTAATCCACCATATAAAAAAACTGAAAAAGGCCACAGGATCATCTCATTAGATGCAGAAAAGGCCTTTGACAACAATCAATATTGTTTCATGATAAGAGTCCTGGAGAGATTAGGAATACAAGGGACAAACCTCAACATAAAAGAGGCAGTGTACAGCAAGACTGTAACACAAAAAGTAAAAACGCAGAGACTGGTATTGGGGTTCGAGGTGAGGGTGAGATTAGCAAAGCAGCCGCCACTAGCTCTTACCTCTACCTCAGACTAAAAGGGGTGATCCTGTCTCCACCTTCTCTCCACTAAGCCTCAGGCTGCTGCCTCTCCTCAATGCAGCTGGAGACTAAATCTCTCAAGAGACAGACCCTTTGATGCTTCCTTTTACACCTCTCAATTCTTGGGATTAACAGTGTGGGATCCCAAATGCTGAGATCACCTTTGTGTGAGCTGTTTCTATTTAGAACTGGATCTTGAACTCACAGAGCTCCATCTGCCTGTCTTCTGAGTCCTGGGATTAAAGATGTGTGTCACTACCGCCTGCTCTGAGGCTTGAGGCTAGCTTTGCTTTTTGAATTCTCAGGCAAGCTTTATTAAACCATAAATAATATATCACCACAGTTCCCCCTTTTTGTCTAACATTAAAAGGCTACAACTAACATAAGAAAAACTATATAAATATGTATATACAATATATATATAGGCAATAACTATCAACAATGTCTAGTCCATTTGTATTTGACAAATTCTGAGAAAATTCTTTATTATCTAGCCTATCTTGGTGAGTCCAAAGTCTTGTATCTAATTTACTTTTCTATTCTAATTTGCATTATCAAATTATCTTTTAATGTCTCTCAACATTTTACACTTTATATATCTTTAGTGAGTTTCTTTTATGAGTCTGGTAAACAAGAGTACTATCCAGTCTGCAACTCCCTTAGAAACCTAAGAAGGAAATAACACTGAGAAAGCAGGAAGTGTGAGCAAGTGACTTCCAAAAAATGTGAGAAATGACAGAAACAGTTGACTGCCTGGATAGCCACCAAGGTTCCTCTGCAATGTTGGGGCATCCACCTTCAGCCTATAGACCTAGCATATCTGACAGACATTTCTGTGAAGCAGGATATTCTGAAGGACTGAACCACCTTGTCGTAGCAAGGTTAGCAGTCACTCTTTTTGGTGTCCTGCTCATCTAATTTGGACAGGATACTGTTAGCAGTTGAGGCAAAGGCACTTTCATGCTCAGTGGATTACCTTTGCAAATAAAGTAAAAACCCAGAGACTGATACTGGGGCTCAAGCTGAGAGTCAGATAAGCAAAGCAGCCGGTCACTAGTTCATAGATAATATATCATCATATAAGCACATAGCATCAACTTAAATATAGAGAAATTCAAAGCAATTACACTAAAATCCAGAAAAAGACAAAGTTGTCTACACTCTCCACATCAAGTCAATAAAGTACTTGAAGTTTTACCTAGAGCAGTAAGACAACTGAAGTAGATCAAAGAGATACACATCAGAAAGGTCAAAGTATCTTGATTTGCACATGATACAACAATATACATAAGTGACCCTGAAGATTCGACCAAGGAACTCTTATAGTTGATAAACACATTCAAGAAAAGAAGGCTGACACAAAATTAACTTACAACAATCAGTAACCCTCCTATGAACAATGACAAACTGACCGAGAAATGAAAAAAAAAATCAGCAAAACAACAGTAGTTAGACATTTGTCCCGCAGCCACTCCCAAATAATAGAAATTTAGTATTAATTGTAAATGTTTGGCTGACGGCATAATCACTCAGAAACTTAATATTAATTGTAAGTGGCTGGCTTGACAGCTCAGGCTTACTAACTAGCTCTTACAATTTAAATTAACCCATTTCTTTTCATCTATGTCTTGCCATGTGGCTCATGGCTTGTTGACCTCATTTTGTACTTGTCCTGCTCCTCTGTGTCCAGAAGGCTGGGCACTCTCCTGACTCTACCCTTCTTCCTCCCAGCATCCTTAGTTTGGTTGTCTCGCCTATTCTTTCTGCCTGGCTAATGGTCAGTCAGCTTTTAATTAAACCAATTCAAAGAAAAATCTTTACCATGTACAAAAGGATTCTTCCACAGCAAACAATACCCCTCACAACAGCCTCAACTAATATTAATATAGTAAACATGGCCATCCTACCAAGAGCAATCGAATTCAATGCAATTTCCATCAAAATTCTTCACAGATCTTGAAAAGGCCAATTTTCATCTTCATATGTAAACACACACACACATTTTAAAAAGGCAGAATAACTAAAACAATACTATATAATAACCGAACTGCAGGAGGTATAACCATCCCTAATTTCAAGTTGTACTACAGAGCTATAGTAATAAAGCAGCATGGTACTGGCAGAAAAACACACGTTGGTCAAGGGAATCAAACTGAAGACCCAGACTATACAACTATAGATTGTTGATAAGGAGCGAAAAATACACACTAGAAAAAAGAAAGCATCTTCAACAAACGGTATATGTCAAAAAGGATGGCTGCATGTAGAAGAATACAAATAAATCCATACTTATCACACTTGACAAAACTCAACCCCAAATAAATCAAAAACCTTTTAACATGAAACTAGGTGCCCTGAACCTGACAGAACCCACTGGCACAGGAAAAGACTTAGTGAACAGAACACCATCATCACAGGCATGAAGACCAACAAGTAATAAGTGGAGCCTTATGAAACTGAAAAGATTTTGTACAGCAAAGGGCACTGTCATTCAGACAAAGTGCAACCTACAGAATGGGAAAAGATTTTTCCAATTTACCAATTAGAGGGCTAATACCCAAAATATATAAACTCAAAAAACTAGATATCAAGAAAAAAACCCAATGGATAATGGGATACACGTCTAAACAGAATTATAAAAGAGAAAACTAAAATGGCTAGGACACACTTAAATTTTAGTTCAACATCCTTGGACTTCAGAGAAATGCAAATCAAAACTACTCTGAACTCTCCTCTTATACTAACATCAGAATGGCTAAGATCAATAAAACAAGTGACCACTCATGTTGCCAAGGGTAAAGAGTAAAAGGACCAGGCATCTACTGCTGGTGGGAATGTAAAATTGTATAGTTACTGTGGAAATTGTGTTGTGTGTCCTCAGGAAGGTTGGAATCAATCTAATTTGAGATCCAACTATCTGAGATACCATCTTACATCTAACAGAATGTCCAAGATCAAAAACTCTGATGACAGCTTATGCTGGAGAGAATGTGGAGTAAGGGTAACACTCCACCATTTCTGGTGAAAGTGTAAACTTTTACAGTCATTGTGGAAAGCAGTATAGCGTTTTCTCAGAAAATTAGAAATCAATCTACCTCAAGACCCAGCAACACCACTTTTGAGCATCTACCCAAAGGATGGACACTCACACCACAAGGACATCTGCTCAGTTATGGGCATAGCAGCATTACTTGTAATAGCCAGAAGCACAGGATACACCATCACACCGTGTTGACAGTGTCTATGAGGACTTGCAATTGCAATTATTATGTGCTATGCAATTATGTGCTATGCCTCACTGTGCTACCGTTTGTACCGGTGTTCAAACTGTCTCATCACTGGGTCGGAGGTTAAGAGAGGACCTGAGTTGAGTACCAGCAGCCACGTGTAACTCCAGCCCCAGGGGAGTTACACTCTCTTGTGGTCTCTGTGGGTACCTGCACACATGTGCACACACACACCCAACCAACAAGAAAATACATTTAAAATGAGAAAGAGGGCAACTGCTCCAGTAAGAGGGAGGAGATGAGAACGACTTAGTGACTCATGAACTAGAAGCCCCCGTGACAGTTTTTGCCATGACCGTGACTTCCCTCCCAGGTCTCAACCAGTTTTCTTCCATAGGTCTTGGCGCTCTGAAGGAAGTGTGTCAACCCAGTGTCAGGCATGAGGTGACTCTCCGACCACATGCTGTGTCTGGCAATGCTGGAGCCCCGCCTCCTCTCACTCACCTGGGCTGGGGCTGTCTGTTTCTTCCTTCACAACCATCCAGGGCTCTCTCTCCTGCTCTAATAAGGTGATCAGATCGGGTTTGGAAATGGAACTTCCCACTTAGAAAAAAAAGAAAGAAATGACACTTATGGAGAATAGTTTTGGGTTTTTTGTTTGTTTGGTTTTTTGAGACTTAGTCTCTTTATCCCAGGATGTCCTGGAACTTACCTGATTTGCTTGCCTCTGTTTCCCAAATGCTGGTATTAAAAGTGGTGCCACCATGAGCTGCCTGAGCAGATTTTTAAAGATACAGACATTATTTATTAGAAAGGTCTATATAGCTTGGCATGGTGGATCATGCCTGGAAGCCCACAGCTGGGGGAATGAGCCAGCCAGTCTGTGCTGCATAGCAAGACCCATCTCGGAAAAACAGATTTAGAAGAAAAGCCTGAGTAATACTGAGGAAAGACTTCAGAGAAAAAGGAGAAGAGGCTGGATGAAAAACCAGCTGCTTCAGAAAAGGTTTTAAACTCATGGAAACACAGACAGCGGTTTGTCACTTAAGAGGAAAAATACACATGGTGGGTGAAAACATGAACCCTTAGGCTACCCTGTATAGTATAAAGCCCATCGCTGCAGCTCACTAAGCTATTGATTTAGGCTAGTTCCATTCGATTCTATGTGCAATGTTCCATTTAAAACCTTGGCATGGTAGCACATACTTGAAATCATAACACTTGTATCTGACACTCTCTGATGGTCTCTGTGGGTACCTGCACACATGTGCACCCACACACCCAACCAACAAGAAAATACATTTAAAATGAGAAAGAGGGTAACTGCCCCAGTAAGAGGGAGGAGATAAGAACGACTTAGTGACTCATGATCTAGAAGCCCCTGTGACAGCTTTTGCTATGACCGTGATTTCCCTCCCAGGTCTCAGCCGTGGTCTTCCACAGGTCTTGGCGCTCTGAAGGAAGTGTGTCAACCCAGTGTCAGGCATGAGGTGACTCTCCGACCACGCTGTGTCTGGCAATGCTGGAGCCCTGACTTGTCACTCACCTGGGCTGGGGCTGTCTGTTTCTTCCTTCACAACCATCCAGGGCTCTCTCTCCTCCTCTAATAAGGTGATCAGATCGGGTTTGGAAATAGAACTTCCCACTTAAAAGAAAGAAAAAAGGACACTTGTAGAGTTTTTCTGTTTTGTATTCTTTTTTGTTTTTGTTTTGTAAAGACTTGGTACCTCTAGTTATCCCAGGATATCCTGGAATTTGATATGTAGAACAGGCTGGCTTTGAACTTACCTGATTTGCTTGCCTCTGCCTCCCAAATGCTGGGATTAAAAGCGGTGCCACCATGAGCTGCCTGTGCAGATTTTTAAAAATACAGATTTAATTATTATAAAGGTCTATACAGCTTGGCATGGTGGATCATGCCTGCAAGCCCAAGAAATACTGAGGAAAGACTTCAAAGAAGAAGGAGGAGGAGGAGCAACCTGGATAAGAAACCAGTTGTTTCAGAAAAGGGTTTAATCTCATTTAAACACAGATAGGGGCTTATCACAAATAGGGGTTTATCACATAAGGGAAATACATATTTAGTGAGTGAGAACATGAACTCTTAGGCTACACTCTAGTGTAAACCCCATCTTTGCAGCTCACTAATAAGGCCATTTATCTAGGCAAGTCCCATTGGATTCTATGTGCAATGTTCCCATCTAAAGACCTGGCATGATGGCAGCACTTGAAATCACAACACTTAAGGAATGGAAGCAGAAGATGAGATGCTCAAGGTTGGCCTTAGCTTCACAGCAAGTCCAAAGTCAGCCTGACCTACACGAGACCTGATCTCAAAAATAATAATGAAAATAATTTAGATCGAGTTGATGGTATTCACTGGATAAGGATACTGTTAAGGCTAAAGACTATTTGAATATTGTCTAGTTATTATTTGTTTAATTTCATTCATTGATTTAGTCATGTTGGAGATGGAACGAGAACCTTGAACATGCTGGGCAAGTGCTCTACCACTGAGTTACATCCCCGCCATGAAAATGGTCATCATTATTGTGACTTATGCTGCTGTCTTCCACACTTACACCTCATTCTAACAGTTTGCACAATGAAAAAGACAAACATCACACCCTAAAACTAAAGCAGGTAAAGGAAATGTTCACAGAAGGAAACAGGATGTGTCCCCTTCTCTTTTGAATCCATTCTACTGATTCATTAGTAAGTAAATCAGAACAGCCTTTTATTTAGTTGTGTGTGTGTACATGTAGTGTATGTATCTTTTGAGGGTGTGTGCACAAGTGTGTGTAGACACTCATGCATGTGTGAACAGGACAGGGAGCAGTGTGAGGTGTCATCTTTGATTGCTCCCCACTCTGGTTTTTGAGACAGGGTCTCTCTGATCCCAGGCCTTACTGAGAGGATCTCCAAAGTGTGGACAAAAGGCACGCACTTCATGAAGGCCCTGTTTTCACCCGGAGAAATCTCCCATCATACCTTTGGGAAGAAGGAGGAACTCAGCCACCTCTTTAAAAATTCTATTGACTTAAATCTACTTTATTTTATGCACATGTAAGTGTCTGTGTGCATGGACATCTGAGTACCACATGCATGCATGATCATGGAGACAAGAAGAGAACATCAGTCCCCTGGTACTGGAGTTACAGTAGGTCACATTATGGAGCTGGGAACTGAACCTGGGTCCTTTGCAAGAAAAGCCAGTTCTCTTAACAAACAAGCTATCTCACTAGACACTAATTCTTATTTACTGATTTACTTCCTTACTTATTTCATTTTATTTCTTTGTTTTGTTGTTTTGTTTTGTTTGAAACGGGGCTTTTAGACTAGACTACCCTGGAACTCATTATGTATCTGAGGGTGACCTTGAACTCACAGCAATATTCCTTCCTCAGTCTTATGAATGAAGGAATGACAGGAATGGGCCACCAAGCCCAGCTTCAGCTACCACGGGAAAGACGGCCCTGTCTGTTCATTCAGAATAAGGAAAGCCAGTGTAGAGGACACATCCCCCACTCATGGGGACAGATGGCCTTACCCACTGTGACCAGGTTGCTGTAGGTCTCCAACATCATGTCCCTGTATAAGACCCTCTGAGTAGTATCCAGGCAGGCCCACTCCTCCTGAGAGAAGTCAACAGCCACATCCCCAAATGTCACTGAGCCCTGAAACCACAAACACAGCAGAGTGAAATTGCGGAAGCCTCTTCAAGATGGAGAAACAGAAGGGAAAGGACTCCAGAGTGGGAAAGGAGCCATGGAAACGCTCAAGGCGCCTGACTGCGTTCAAGATGATGATGTGTCTCAGGTCTCCCTGAACTCTGGAGACTGCCGTCCCCTCCAATCGCAGCCTGGATGACCTGTCCCTCTCACCACTGAACTCTCTCTTAAAGACCCTCAAGCAGGTCATCTCCTCACACACATGCACCCAGGACATTCACTCTCAAACCCGTGTCATCAGCCTGAACACACCAAAGGTGTCAATCAGGATTCCCAGTGCAGTCAAAGACACCATCACATTAACATTCTGAACCCCAAAGACCCTGCTTCCCTGTGGGACTCTGGCCCCCACTGCAAGGACACTATTCCCTGATCACAGACCAAGCAGACAGCAGATGGTCAGGGACACACTCAGAAAACTCCAGAAGCAGCGGGAGAGAGGCAGACAGGAAGTGCTCTGACCTTCCAACCCTCACTGAGAGGGACAGGGCAGCCTGGGCTGGAGGATTGTGGGTCCTGGGGAAGCTTCACGAGAGAAAGACAGCAGAGTCACCTAACCTCAAAGTCACCCTATGTAAAGAGAGAACGTAACTTACACAGACCATGTCTTGAGAACCAGAGCTGGCCATTCTTCTTCAGGGTCCTCCCCTGGGGGACAAAAAGACAGTCTTCATTGGGTTGTCACTTGATGTTCCCAGACTGACTCGGGTCAGCATGGCTTCACTGACCACGTTTATTTCCAGGCATCCGCACTCACACACTCCTGTCCACCGATCATAGCCACCCACTCACAAACAGAAGCAGACAGGAGTCCACACAAGCCGACTCTGTCCCAACCCAGACAAGCCACTGACAAGGACTCAGTGCGGACATGCAGAGCACAGGCACGCCTGCCGAGAAGTCCCCAGAAGATGCCAGCAGGGGGGACCCCACGTTCCTTCTGACAGGCAGCTAACCCCCGACCTTAAGCAGATCTTCCCACTGGAATCCCACCCTCAGGGCTGACAGGGGAGATGGCAACTGAACGGTAACTCCTCTGAACACTCAGGGCTGAGTGAGGACAAGTCTGGAGGGTCAGGCTGCAGCTGCAATTCTAAACACTAACATGGTGATGCATAGTCATCTCTCCCTCCAGCTTCAGAGGGTTTGACACCCTCTTCTATCTCCCTCAGGCACAAGGAATGCAAATGGTGCATATACAGATATACAGGCAAAACACTCATAAAAAATGAACTATCTTTTTTTAAAGTGTCCATTATCAGCTCAGTGGTCCTTGTTTGACTGCTTGAACCTAAAGGGAGAATCACTAGGAAGTGACTGGGAGACCCCAGAGCAGCATCAGAGGGATGCCAAGCCACCCGCCCAGGAGCAGGGAGCAACTGCTGGGAGAGACAGCAACAGCAGCAGCTTCCAGAATATCACAAGGAGGTCCTCTGGCAGAGAGCGCCTGTGCCCCAGCCAACATCCACTGCCACTGCTTGGTACTGAGATAGCCCGTTACTGCAGTGACCACTGGAACCTCAGTCCCATCTACACCCAGAGGGGCAATTACCATAGCCATGGCCCCGCCTCCAACGGGAGGAGTGTCCATCTTAGCTGTACTCCACCTGCACCTCAAGGAGTGACTACCTAAGCCCATCTGGAGCGATAACCGGAGGCTCTGCTCTGCTTGCACCTGAAGTACAGTCAATGCAGCCCCCAATTATACCACTGGAGAAAGGGGCCCCGGAAGCACAGGCTCCACCCATACTATTAGAGAAAGAGATGCACAGACCACAAGGTAAGAACACGCTCGACAACACATAGAGACTAGTGGTGCCACAACAGCAAGATCTGAACACCCCAATGCAGATGAATGACCCTTAAAATCATCTCATGATGAAAAATTCCCTTAAGGAAATGGAGGAAAAGACAAACAAAAACTGAAGAAATTGACAAATACCTTAAAGAAATTGCTCAACATCCTTAGCCACCAAGGAAATGTAAATCAAAACAACTGAGATACCAACTTAATACCTGTCAGAAAGGCTAAAATAAAAAACACCAACAACAGTTTGGACTGGAGAGGATGTGGAGAAAGGGGAACACTCCTCCATTGCTGGTGGGAACAGAAACTGGTACAGCCACTTTGGAAATCAGTATGGCGGTATCTCAGGAAAATGGGAATCAGTCTACCTCAAGATCCAGCAATTTCTCTCTTAGGCATACACCCAAAAGATGCACATTCTTACAAGGACATCTGTTCAACTATGTTCACAGCAGCATGATTTGTAATAGCTAGAACCTAGAAGCAACCTAGATGCCCCTCAACTGAAGAATGGATAAAGAAAGTGTGGTACATTTGCACAATGGAGTACTACTCAGTGGGAAAAAAAACCAATGAAATAGAAGAAACCATCCTGAGTGAGGTAACCTAGACACAGAAAGAAAAACATGGTACATACTCACTCATAGGTGGATATTAGACATAGAGCAAAAGATAACCATCCTACAATCCACAACCCCAGAGAAGCTAGGAAACAAGGAGGACCCTAAGAGAGTCATACATGGTCCCCCAGAGAAGGGGAAAGGGACAAGATCTCTTGAGTAAATTGGGGGCACCAGGAGGGTGGAGGGAGGTAGGATAAAAAGCAGGAGAAAAGGAAAGAGGGGAAGAGAACATGAGGGACTGGGATGGTCGAGTTGGGGGAAGAACAGAGAGGGAGAACAGAAAAAGAGATAGCTTAATAGAGGGAGCCATTATGGGTTTAATGAGAAATCTGGCACTAGGGAAATCTCCAGGGATCCACAAGGATGACCCCAACTAAGAATCTAAGCAACAGGGAAGAGGCTACCTTAAATGCCCTTCCCGCACAATGAGATTGATGACTACCTTAAATGGCATCATAGAGCCTTCATCCAGTAGTTGATGGCA